AAATATTGTTGACATTCAATGTTGAAATTTGTTTGCCATTAAAATATGTTTTATATTTATGAAATACTGATACAGGATCATCCAGCATTGGGATTAAAAAAATACCTAAAAGGATAATGTTAATTTTTATCACAATAGACTCTTTCAAAGGATTATCCAATGGATCATTGAGTTGTCTAATTGCTTCTAAACTAAAAAGTTGTTGAAATAAAATTATGTAAAATAGGGAGACTGATATATAACAAAAATACTTCAACAGTTTTTATTGTAGTGATACTTATTTCTCTTGCTTTTTGATTAAAACTGGGCCCAAGTAATCATATTTAATTTGATTAAATCTTGTTCCAAACTGGCTATATTTCTGGCACAAGTTTTAGGAAATGCTCTCTAAAAGCAAACACTCTAAATTCATTTTACAGTCTCCAGTTTTGTGTTGGAGGATCCTTAAAGAGTAACATTATTTTAATAAATCATTTTGAGTGTTTTTCAACACTGCTTAGTCACATATTTGTTGGTTTTAGAATCCTCTATCAAGTGATATTACAGCCAAGAGATCATCATAGAGATAAAATTAAATATGTTAAGAAATGATATAATTAAATGGATTTTACTTGTAACCAGGGGTCTGTGTAATTAAATTGGTGTAGTTTTTTTTTACATCACGTTGGTATAATAATTCTACCTTTGCTGCCAAAAATAATCAGAATTCTGGATATAGACATTTACTGAAAAACATTAGCAGAGAAAAAGCTGACATGCACATCTAAGGAACAATATTCAAACTACATTCCCCATTATCAGCATGTCCAGATGTGTTTCTTCATAAAGTTTGAAGCCTAAGGTTTCAAAAGAAGACAACGTTTCTGACTGCTGAAATAGTCACTATTCATACTATAACACCATTCACTATTTTCAGTAAGATCTCCTCATATATTTAAAATATTTCTTTGATTTCAAAAGTCAGAATTTACGTAGAAATATTACTCCAAAGTCCAGCTTTTAAAACAATGTTCTCCCTTAGTGTTTTGATTCTTGCAAGAAAAAGAATCTGTATAAATAAGCCTGTTTACTTCCAGATTTTTTTTTTTTAAATTGCCCCAGCATTACTAATTTTTCCTTTTTTCTTTTTTTTAAAAAATAAAGTTTTATTTGGGTTTTCACACATACAAAATACAAGTAAAACATCTTTTTGAAAATAGCATGGTCCCGGGTTGAACTTCTTTATACAGACACAAAACTCAATTTCATGCTCCTATTTGTGTTCTTCCATATCTTATATTATTCTACATTTTCTATATAGTTTTTCCCCTTTTAATTTTCTCAATTTTATTTTGATTATCTCATCTCAATTCAAATCATTATATTTATACTTTTGTCTGTTTCAATTTCATATTATCTTTTCTCATTAAACAAATTTTCTCCTGTAGTTACTAATTGGAGTATGACACCTTTGTATCTTTTAATTACATCCATTCAACTCTTATTTAAACTTCAATATATACCTTAAGGTTATGACCTTCAATATAATACATAACTTCCAATCGAATTCTGCTTGGTACATTCTTATAATACACACTATATTCTTTTTTTAAAAAGGATTATAAATATATGCAATTATAAACCCTCATTCCATTCCAATTCAGTTCTATCATTAATAATCATTAAAATCTTAACATCTTTAACACTTCTTTTCAATTAAATATCATACTTCCTTAAAGACATATAATCTCCATAATTAATTTTTCCCTTATTTCTCTTCACATATGTTTTGTAAATCATTAAATATTCATTTTGTTACATTTATTTATTGACAAGCATTCCACTGAATTACGATAGCTATTTTATCAAACATTTTAATCATACATTGTTTCATATTTTCTAAAATTATTTCTATTTCTAATGTAACAATACTATCTTATGTACCTTTGCAGAATCCCCTTTTCCATTAAATTTTCACCCATTATCTCTAAATAGGTCCTGTTTCTCTATATTTTGTTTCTGTCCTTTATAAATTCTTTTCCTTTCTTTCTTCCCTCTCATCTTCTCCCTCCTCTTTTTACTCCCTTGTCTCTGTACTTCTAATTTTCTCTTCTGCATTTCCCTCTTCTGTTGCTTTCTGATTTGATACTTATTTTTCACTCTATTTTTGAGTTGTTTTTCCCAATCTTAAACTTTCCATTCTCTTTCCCCTCTTTCCTTTTTCCCCCCCACCTAAGATCATTTGTTCGTTAAAGATGGCTGCTTCTTTGTCGCAATCTTCTTGTTCTGCAGGTATTTCTTGTTGTTTCTCATAATTCCAAATCTCCATTACTAAAAACTGAAATACAAAGCCAAAAGAACCTCTCCCTTCTTTTGCATCTTCTTTGTGCTTTTTAAGTTCCATTTTCAGTTTTTCTAAAAGTGGAGCCATTTTAAAAAGTTTTAAACAACCACCCAATTGATTTTAGTCATTCAAATACAATAACCAAAAATCCAGATATCATCAAGTAATCCAAATAGTCCCAAGTTATTTTTTCTTATTTCTTTTTCCACTTTCTCTTCCTGGGGTTTTTGTTGCGATATTTCAGTTAAAATATATCTTTTGGAAGTCTTGTTGAGATTTTGCTGTAAGTTCTTTTTAATTCCAGGCAGTCTCCTCTCTTCCAGATCCTGCCCTTTTATTCTTTTTCTCTCCTTTCCTGTTTTCAAAAGCTTTTGATTATCCAGAAATCTTTATTATCCCTTTGACTTTTTATTTTCAGCATTAAATGCCTATTAATGTCAAAGTGGATTTTTTTTTCAATTTCTTGCTTAAGTCTCTTAGCTGTCAGTATAGGAAAAGGAGAAAAAAACCCAAATCTTTTCCCTTTTCTTTCTCCTTCACACCTTAGAAATCTTCTTAGGGAACAATGTTATTGTTTTTTTTTTAATAGTTTCAATTCCAGGGTACTTTATTTGTTGCTTTTGCTGTTTGACCTGGTCAACCAAAACTTTCTCTTCTTATCTTCCTCCTGCACATTCTTTTCTGGTGGAGTTCTTCTTTGTGGTGGCCATTTCTGACCACTGCTACAACCGCCTTAGGGGAAAGGAAGTAAAGGCCAGCTGGGGAGGAGAGATGTGGCTGTCCTCAACCCTGCAGGCAGTCTCCCCCTTCTTCACCACATCTACGGGGTGGCTTAGCCCCGAAACCAGCCAGCTCAGGGCGCTCCAGAGACGAGGTTTTGGTCTGTCACCGAAGAAGCTCAAATCGGAAGTCCACTAATTTTTTCTTATTATCCATTCTCTACCAGTCTTTCTTGGCAGCCTCTAAAATTACATCTTCACCTTAGTTCTACCTACATCTCCATATTTTTAAATATATACAACTGATGTCTTCATATACGTAAATGTTATGCACATTAACAATTTGTAGGCTTATTGGCATCTTTTTAAGTGGAGTCTACTGTATCCAATTGGCTATACACAAGGCCACAGAAGCATGTGCTTCAATAGCATTATTGCTACTTCCTTCTGTTTCAGAGGAGAAGCTGATAGATACAAATACAGTGCCAACACCAGGGATATTGTATGAACATAATTGTGCATGCCTTACGCATACATAGAGAGAATATAGTAATAGCCTTTAGGTTTTTATATACTGCTCATTGGGCTTTACAGAACTCTCTGAGTAGTTTGCAATGTAAGTATTATTTGTATATTTTCCTGAACAATCTAGGTCCTCAGTTGAATTTATGTGAATTTTTATTATATTGAATCTGAAAAATGCTCTATCTGCCTCACTATTCCCTATATTTACCCTCCCCAACCTATATGCTCCAAATGTGCTACTTACCAACAAAACCAAGGTTATGATGGTTTTATTGGTTCTGATTTGGAGCAATTGAGTCCAATGCATATTGAATTGGCATCCTTTATAATCAAGGATAGTGCTTAAAGCCATATAACATCAAAGGTTTCTTATCAAGCAATGTAATAATTTAAGATGGTAAATGACCTAGTCCTAAATTTTTGTATTTGGCCACGGTTGAAAATATTGGTCATTATTTTCACATTCTGCACATTGTTCTGTCTGACCTCACTTTTATTCCACTTGACCAACCATGAGTCATGTATTTTAGACTAATATACCAGAATAATAAATTCTTGAACTTTGTGAAGTTTATGCTATGTCAAGTATATTAAAGGTAAGGCTAGAATTATTCTTCTGAAATTCATATGAGTGCATTTTATTATGAATTGGTATGATTTGTATATTTTGAAATTTCCAATCTGTAAGTTCCACTACTGTTAATTTAGTTTTAAGAAAAGTGTCATTTTAAGTTCTTTTAAAATTAATTTTGATATACTTTAAAATTATATTTTAACCAGGATATTAACTATATTTCATCTGCTTATTGATGAAAGCTGATTGATAATATTAAATGTCAGATCATCATTCTCAAAGACTTGGGAAGATAAAAAATATGAAGCATACTAAGTATTATACAATCTTTCCCTAACTGATAGACCCTAGATAGACTGAAATATAACTTCCAAAGCATTATCTTATCAAAATGTTAGTTGGTTTAAAGCAACAGGCAAAATATTAAATTCAAACCAAGATTCTATCCCTCTAGGTTAAAAAAGTCATAAAACATGCTAAATTATAGTTTTGAATATATTGCACACAAAAGCATATTATAATATACATTTATTTATATAAACTGTCTTCTAGGTTTATTACATTTCCTAAAGACACAATCACTGAAAGTATGTCAAAGCTGTCAATTATAGTTGTCAACCTTGCACTAATCCAGGCTTTAAAATCAAAAGAAAAAAGTTTCACATTATTTATTACTATGTTCCAATATTTTGAATTCTTCTACAATAATCCACTAAATACATTTAAGTCTCTTTGGTAAATGGTACATAGTGCTATATGTAAAGGATCATCACTAGAGCCAAGGACATTGATGATAGACATTTTTCTTATCTATCTCATATTTAATTTTAATGTTATTTATTTTTCAAACAATACTCACTGTTCTTTTTATAAAACATGATCTCTCCTTTGAATTCTATTTTTTCTTCCAATGACTTTTCAATTTGGAGAATCATTTGCTCATTTGTTTCAGCACCATATAAAAATTTACAGCTACAGCTCTTCTGCATGACTTCAGTTCGTGCAAATCCAGAGAGCTCACAGAAGCCATCGGAACAGTAAACTATGGGGAATCCTTTAGCCACCTGAGCATTGGCAAGAATGAAATTACTATCTGTAAAAAAAAGATAAAAATACAATATTTATAAATGTGATCTGCTTATTCAATCCCCCCATATACTTTCCCCAGATGATTTCCTCTAGATACTGTAAGCCATAAAACCAACAATGCCAGGCAGAATATTTCATGATTAGGAATAAGAAGTTCAGCTCAAAACATCTTAAATTTGCTTGGTTGAAGAGGCACAGTGTTACACTACCTCAAAGACTTGTTCACAACTGAGTAATATAGAAATTCCAAAGTATCTGCTAAGAAATTAATGTTTTGAATGATCTTCTTAATATTGGATATATTAACATTCTTAATATTAGATATTTGAATAGGATCACAAATATATAGAAAACAAGGTTTTGTCATTTTATAGGGTACTTGAATGAATTTCTAAAAAACTATTCTTCATCAAATTAAAAATAAAATGAAACAATCATTGAGACATCTTGGCAGATGAAGAGACGTCCATTTTCAGTCATGGAAAGAATGTGGATTATTACTATTAATCCAGTTAATAAGAAAAGTAGGAACACTTTTGATTCTTTCAGATGCCTTTGCTGAACCAATCATGTATTTCTTTCTGCATCCAAGAACACTATCCATATTACTGAGTTTAATTTTTATGAATGTATATTTATACTACTGAAAATTATAACATATTTACTTTAATGCCTTATTTAATAATAAGGCATTAAAACCAGAAAATTCAATTAAAAACTATAGACAATAAAAAAAAAATAATAAAATACAAATAACCAACCGAAAGTTAAAGAAACACTAACTTCCAAAAAAAGTTTGGAAAAGTCTTTCTTAATATGTTTCTGGTATTACCAAATTGACTCTTGGGGAAAGGCTCTTCCATTAACTGGAAATATTAATATTAAATATTAAGAGGCACCAGCTCTGAGCACTGTCCTGTTTCTGGCAGGCATCTATCATACTCAGGTTATGTATTGAAGAAGATGACCCTGATGTAGAGAGTATAAAATTCGATTAAAATTCTATTTGGAAACTTATCAGAAACTTATCTACTGTACCTTGGTATAGCTGTCACAAGACTGTGTTGGTTCTCGCTCTTCAGTTGGACTCTATAGCAATTAGCAACTACAGTTCTTAAGTAGCATTCAAAACCAGCTCCCATACAAAGTGTGTTTCTTTACCATATAAAGTAGTAATTGATTCCAGTGATGTCAGTAATTTAGTGTTGCCTGTTACTTAGGGAGTTTTTACATGCCATGATCATGTATATGCCTACTGCACAGCCAATAGGATCTTAACTATTCTCAAATTGGTCTTGCATTTATACTCAAAAGTTTTTAATTCCCTGCCCCCCAAATTTATGCAAGTCCATGAATAAACAACCATAGCTAGAAAAAGGAAAAATTTATCCCTTTCTGCCATGAAAATTGATCTTACCAATGAAATTCAAATACAAGATACTGCTATTCAATAATTTAGGCAGTAACGTTTCTCTATATCAGTTTATAATAAAGCCATCAAAGGATGAGAATATTCCTACTTTGTACAGTGAAATGATGGACACCTACTTCACTATGTTACACTGGACTACATACATTGATTCTAACTGAAACAAAAAGCTCAGAGGTATCATGCTGAAACATTCTTTTTCTATTCTAAAATTTCAAATTGTTTCAGTTTATTTTTAAGCCTGTTTTATAGTAAAGTTTTCAAAGTTGTTATTGTGGAATCTTTCTATTCTAAAATCCAGTATGTAATTTATGATTCAAACTCTTCTACTGATTCTATACAAACTCAGATTATTTTTACATTGTGCTACAGGCTCCTTACAAGTATATACATTTATTACTCCTTTAAAATGAAACCTACTTCCCCACTTCTTGATTCTGACAATACATATACAAAAGCTTTTTTCTGGAATTATTCACAATGTTTAAACAGATTTCATTTGCTGAACATGTATCCACTAGCTACATAATTCAAGTCATTGTTTGACTCCACTAACCACTTCTTTGCTTTCCTAAATGGAAAATGACTATTATTATCAGTTAGATGACTTTTTATATGCTGCTTCCACTGTCAAAACAAAATCAGATTCCATGCTAGTACAAGAATTAAAATAATATGCTTGCTGTATAAATGGATGATTGAGGCTCTGTATTATAGTTAATAATAATATTATCTAAAAATCATCTGTAACTTTCAAATAAATTTATTCCTGGATTTATTATTCTCTCAGTTAAATTCAGTATAAATTACACAAAGCACAAAGGAACATTGAATAGATTAAAAGGGATTCAAGTGATGCTAATTAATTATAAAAGGATCTCAACATCTTTTATAGCATAAAAATGCCAAAAGAATGCAGGAATGGGATAAAAATTTGGCATGTTATATTAATGTAGATATAGAATGTCTGCATAAATCCTCTATGATATGTATACCTGACTAATCTCTAAAATTGCTAAATTACAGTACTATTGAAATAGTTTTCTGGCCATTATAATGTACTCTGAAATTGTAAGCATAGATTTTAATGCCCCATGAAAATTTATATTGTTCAGCTATATAGCATACACATATTCAACAAAGAGGAAATCTTTTAATATGAAGAATAATTAACATCAATAATTAATAGCAATAGCATTTAGACATATACTACTTCATAGTGCTTTACAGGCCTCTCTAAGCATTTTATTGAGTCAGCCTATTGCCCCAACAATCTGGGTCCTCATTTTACTGACCTCAGAAGGATTGAAGGCTGAGTCAGCTTTGACCATTTAGAATCGAACTGGAGTGAGCAATGTGTTAGCCTGCAGTATTGCATTCTAACAACTGTCCCAGTGGGGCTCTTTTAAGCACGAAGCTCAAAAAAAATTTCAACATCATACAAGGGCATATAACGAGAAAATGATTTGGTTAATGTATATATCTTCTAGGCTCAAAATAAAGAAATTGTTATATCTTATTCTAATACTGACTGATACATAATTTCCACTTTAAGGAAAGTTGACAAGTTTGCTAGATTCTTATAAAAGAAATTAAGAGAATCAAATCTTAAATTTTCTGCCCTAGCCACATTCAATCAATTTAGCTATTCTCACATGGAGAAACTCATGTTACACCTCCTGCAATGTAGCTGATGAAAAAAAGGTGAAGGTTGTCAAAAGAAAAGATGGCATACTAATTTGATATCTCTAATTATATGAGATCTGAATCTTTTCAGAACTGAGCACTGAGTCCTCATTTCACTTTAGCCCACATCTGATTTTAATGATTATTTCAATTTATTAATAAATGGTTGGTAAGTTAGTATACAAAAGGAACCAAAATGAAGAAAATAAATTCTTTCCAAATATGTAGTGATTGGCACAAGGAGGTTTCTTTTTCATTTTTGTAATATGGTTTCATTAAAATTTGTCTGACAACTGGTGACTACACAACAAGTCATGCAAGTGAATTGTCATGGCCTTTTAAGGGCTGAAAGACCATGACTGACCCAAAGTCAGTAAGTTGGCTTCCATGCCTAAATCTGATCTACTACAACAAACTGACTAGGTTGACTTTAATGTGGATGTAAAATATTGAAATTTTCAAGATAAATCAATTGGTCAGAACATTTAGTTATCTTGTAAGTTTCAGATTTGGAATATTTTTTCCTGATAAAACTTTTTATTGTACAATGATGATATAGGGGAGGTAATTGGTGGCATCAAAGTATGGAAATATCCAGACAATCTATTTGCCTAAATGTAACTGATGTTCCTTTAATATCACAAGACTCCATAATTGTGTTTCTTAGTTCAATTACAGTTTCATTCATCATGTATAGATATGGCACACTGTGGATATTAAAATAAATGATAATATTAATAGCAATATTATTAAAGCACTACTACCTAGAAGGCTTGGGACAAAGCAAGAAAATGTAAATAGCTGTTCTGACCTAGCCTTCATAAGCAATCAGAAACCGCTTACTCACAAGTAACACAAACCCTTTTTTTATTTAAGTCAGGGCAGAAATAGTCTTTGTTCACGTTGAACAAACAAAACAAAAAGTAATGAGTTACAAATGAAAGTCTTTTCCCCTTCTCAAAACAGGGCAAAACAATCCCTGTTCACACTGGCTGAGGCAAATCCACTTCCTATTATTTCCTAGCAAGGAGATTCCATTGGCATCTCAAATACAGATCAAATAGTTCCAACAAACCTGGTTCTGCTAAAGGAATCCAATTGATGTACACTGGAAAATGAATAGTTCTCTGTAACAACTGGCCACTCCCAAACCTCTACTAATTATTTCCAAACCAGGGGATGGCTGGCTAGCATCTATGTCTTCTTTTTCCTGAGAGCCAGTTTATTGCTTTCCATTGCTCTCCTCTCCTTTTCTCTCTGCATCTGGGATGGGCCCTATTTGTTCTTCCCCGTCACTCAGCTCAGGTCCCGAAGACAGCTGCCCCTCTACCTGGGAGAAAATGGAAGGCCCCAGCTCTGCATCTGATTCTGATTCTGCTTCCTTATCAGAACTTCCAAAGGCTCCAAAGCTGGCCGAGGTTCCCCTTCCCCTTCCTCCTCGTCTGACTCTATATATTATAAAATATATAGTCTGATGTATATTTTTGTGATATAAGGTAGGTGTATAGAACAGTTGTTCCACTTACCCTGTAAGGTAGAGGTAAAATAATGAAATAATTTGTATAATGTAAATTTGCTCTTGTCTATGTACCATAACATTCCATATACATACAAAAGGGAGGGCATTATGATGGCCAGAAGAAAATGTAACAAGGGTGAAGGGTACCAAAAAGGCTGGTCCAATTGTGTATCAAAGCACATACCCAATTCTAAATATATATTAACATTCTATTCTCATAGAAAAAGGCATATTTCCCTAATATGTTAGGAAGCATAAAACAATAACATTGAAATATTTTCTAGCTTCTGTCTACTTTTGACATTGTGAAGGTAATTCTCAAATTAGATGCAATACTCTGCCACTGAGAATCGATGAATGAACAAAGAGA